ATATCTTGTTACACTTCACTATAAATTACGCTTACATAACTTAAATACTTCTAAAGTATTTGACACGTGAAAATTAGATTAGATTTTGATTAAATGCGTATTATTTAAAAAACCTTAAGATTTAGGTATTATAAACCTTATTAAAACTGACACTTATTTTGTTCAGCAAACCCAAAAATGCAATAATATACAGGACATTCCATTAAAAAAAAACGCAACTTTGATACCTTTGGAGCCTTTGGGACAGCCTGTACCTGTAAAATCAAACGGTTTAGCCGCAAACTTCCGTGCCGTATAGCGTGAATAACCCTGTATATATAAACATATATTTATTCCGAAATATCGACGACGACATATAAAAGCAGTAACAAATTTCGATTGAGAAACATACCATTTTTAAGCCCTTTAGCTTTTAGATATCTATATGTGGAGAGTATGGTGTACTTCATGTAGTCATGAGCCGTTTCTTTGACGGTTCTTTCTTCCAGTAGTATTCTGGGCAATACTTTGTCCACTCCACCAAGATTATTGCTGTTATTTTCTCCTGAAAGTTAGCATGTGAAAATAAGCATCTGCATGTTGGTCGCATTTTACCATCAAATATTCCAAACAATGCTTCAGTGTTGCAGAAGGCCGGTAATCGAATTTGCGTGATATGAAGCTTGGATTTCGATCCCGACGTTTCGGAAAACCCCACTGACCAACTATAATCAGTCAGATCCGACTCACAAAACGGGGCTGGTGATAGAGGTAAACTGGTGCGATTCTTTCCGCTTACGTCCACCAGGGACATTGGCCTTTGCGTTCTAATAATAATTTCATATTAATGCTTTTCATCTATGCACCCTTATCACCTACCTATAAGTGTTGAACTGCTGGCAATCCACGTGCAGTTTTGTATTGCAGCTCAGGTCCAAAAACTTTAAATTGGGGGGAATCAGCGAAGTCAAATCAACACGGTCTAGTTGATTRTGGGCCAAATCCAACACTCTTAATTTTATTAAATTTGATAACTTGGGAATGGTTTGGAGGAGATTGGAGTGTACTCTTAAAACTGATAAGTGTTTYAACTGATCGACGTCCTCTGGGAGGCGTAATATTTTATTGCCTGAAAGAACCAGTTCTTCCAGTTCTGACCAGTAACGGGCGCAGTTGTGGGGAAGTGATGTTACATTGTTATAAGCTGAAAACAAATTGAATATTTACACAACAACTTAGCGAAAAGAGCAAAGTTTTAACATTTGATAGAAGGCAAATTCATAAGCCTACGCACTGCAAGAAGAACTCTCCAAGTGGCAAGGCAAAAAATGGCTGCTTTGGCAGACTTAGCTGTAGTTGAAAGTTTTGCAGYGTTAAAATAATCGCAATATTTTGTCAAAATAATGTGCTTTGATGGCAAAATGTGCAACAAATTGCCGTGGAACACCTACATGTATTAACGCTATGTAAATGGACATACCTATGTGCAAAGTTTTTATATTTCTTAAATATGGCGCAAGCTTCTCCAAACTTTTATCGATCAAGCAATTGGCAGTCAAGAAAAGCTTTTCCAACATTAGCATTTCGTCCGGCTTGGGAATATCGACTAATCTATTATTCGATACATTCAAAACTTTGATAGTTCGAACGAATTGGAAAAAATTATCTGGCAGGTTGGAAAGACTGTTGTTCTGTAGGAACAATTCTTGAATTGGCAGTCTGCGCTGGATCATCGGCAAACAGTGGAGCTGATTATAGGCCAGCTGAACAGTTTGCAGACATGGCATTTCGTTGCAGAAGATATGATTTGGAAGTGCAGTAATGGAGTTATTGCTGGCAAAAAGAGATCGCAGTTCGTTACATCCAGACAACCAATCAGGCAGTGTCTGTAGGTCATTGTATGAAACGTCCAAGTGAGATAGTCGGATTGGAGGATGTGTAGTAGAAAACGTTTTCAATCCTAGAAAATATGGTAAACTTAGAACAAGTTATATAATTCGCAGTTGCACTCACTATTATTTCCAGCAATCACAGACACTAGATTTTTTCCAAAAAGCGTCAATTGTGCCAAAGAATTCCTGGAGCACTGGAGTACTTTCAACTGCTCCACTGCACCCAAATCTAATATTTCTATGCTGTTCTCACTCACGTCTAAATGAGTTAGACTCTGAAAAATAACGTTAAAGAAACGCTTTCACAATCGGTCCAAAATAAGTTTTCCTACATTCTCACTTAGACAACATTAAGCAAAGTTAAACAAAACCTGGATTTCTCCGCTGGTGCAGCACTGGAAGCATTACGTCGCAAACAATCCGCTAGACAATAACTAACAGTAAAAATTATTTAAAAAAAGAATAACACTTTAGAAAAACATATATATAAAACTAGTTTGACTGAATCGATTCGAATGATCGAAAATAGCAAAGACGCGTTTTCAAATTAGTGTGCCTTGAAAATCAGTAGCCCTGAAATACATTGTAAGAAATTGTTTTACTCACAGTATAATTTCCTAAAATAATGTGCCCCTTCAATCTGTTCGCTCTTAAGTTCAAAGTTGTAAGACCATTTGAACTTTTAGTAGTGGAAGAACGACGATTCGCCGGATTCAGTTCTGATTCCTAAAACAAAAAGTGGAAGTCTATATCCAGTCATCATTCCTTTTAAGGGGTTATGGAGCCTCACGTGAAGAATACGAAGAAAGATTTGAAAAAAACCATTTAGAAAAATGAGCGAAAAAAGCTTGAAAATCGAATTTCAACTTTGTTACTAAGCATTATTTTGAAATGGTCCCATGTTTGACTCGCACCCCAATTTAATACTTATGCACTCGCAAAGAAAAATTACGATATTTACTGTTCAAATTATGAAAATTTGTAAACCACAATTTTGTGAAAGTTTTTTGTCAATATCAGGTAGTGTGATTTTCAAAACTACAGAAATCCAGCGCCGCCAAAGAAAAATAGTGCGCTAATTTTATTGAAAATGTCTCCAAAAATTGAGCGAACGAACAAAACGCTTGTAAATTATGCCACAAAGCGTTATCGTCTCAATAAACTCTCCATCCATTTCTGGTTTTAAATAGTGATTTTTTTAAAATACTAAAGCACGTCGTGCCAAAAACAAATAATGCGTCGGCCTAATTTCAGTTTAACTAAGTTTAAAAATTAATTTAAAAAATATGAAACTCTCAAATTAGGTCATCAATAGAGCAAAAAGTTAAGGATAATGGTAATTTTTAGAAAATACTGAAACATTGCGGTGCAAGACGAATAATGTGCCAATGAGGGAAGCAAAAGTTTACGTTTAATCAGGATTTAATAGCTATTTCACGATTTGACTTGCGATTTTTCGAAACTACTGAAAAACATTTTGATCCTCATACAATAATGTGCCTCCAAAAGTGAAGAAAATGCGGACGGAATTCACATTTTAATGACGCTAACATGAATTCTATGTGAATTTCCGGTCTTGAAATGCGATTTATTGAAAAATTCGCCAAAAATTGAGTAAAAGAGGAAAAAGCGACAAATTGCGCCTTAATAGAGCAAGGCTTTTTCGATCTAATGGCGCTAAAATAAATTATCTGTGTATTTTGAATTTTTAATATTGATTTTTTTTAAATGCTGAAACACAGTGTGGCTGAGGACAAATATTACGTCGGAGATATCTAGAAATGCGCTAACAATTAGAGTCAATCAATGAAAAAAGTTGAAAATTATGCCACCCATGGACCAAAGTTTTGTTTATTTTATCGTGCTAATGCGATTTATCTACCTATTTGACGCTTTTGACTCGTGATTTTTAGAAAATCCTGAATCACATTTATATGCATAAGAATTAGTGTGTACATTTTGTGAAAAAATTTATGAAAATTTGACGAAAGGAGTCAAAACGTTACAATTTATGCCCGATTTTTTGGATTTAATGGCGCAAATATGAACTATCTGCCTGTTTTAACCCAGAAACCCAGAAAGACGAATAGAGCACCCACATGAAACAATACTTTTAATGGATCTAACACGGATTTTATATATTTTTCCGGGTTTGAACAGTGAGTTTAAAACTACCGAAACACACGGAAAGAAGACAAAAAGTTTAAAATTGTGTCAAATCAATAGAGCTTAGTTTCGTAGAGTTACTGGTAATAATTCAAATTCTCTTCCTACTGCCGATGTGGACCAGTGGTTTTTAGAAAATACTGCAACCCATTTTGGTGCAAGACAAATACAATGGCAATTTTCTCTAAATATTCACCAAAAATTGAGCGATTTGAATAGCGATTATTTTTAAATGCCGAAACCCAGTTGAAGGCAAATAGTAGGCCGACTTAACTCGGAAAATAACGTCATTAATAGAGCAATATTTTCTACTTTTATTGGCGCTTACATGGATTTTATACGTGATTTTTTAAATTTACAAAAAATTAACAAACCAGTGAAAGAGTTACAAGGCCAAAAGAAAGAAGGAAGGAAGGGAAAATGACAGACAAATGAAGAAAGAAAGTCCAGTCAAGTTGAGGATGAAAACTGAAAGACGAAGTAGCAGAAGTTTCAGAGTCAATACCAGTTGAAGCAATTCCGACAAATAACAAACCTGCGGAAAATGAAGTTAATTTTTAAAGAGATGAAAAAGAAGGGCAAGCTCATGCCTAGCAAAGATAAAGTTAACCGAGAGGGGCAAGGGAATGAGGACGATCAAGTTACTGAGCCTGTTGCTGAACAAAAAAATAAGAAGGGAAGATAAGAAACAGATTTGGAAAGTTCAGGAGGAAAACAAAAAAGTATTAAAAAAAACAAGGTCAAAAAACAGATTCTAAATTATATAATAATGGAAATACTCACGGCTAAAATCAGTGCTCTCATTTCGGGGGGTTCGCCTGGCTTGTCCAGGGGAAAAGCTAAGCGATTCGCAGCCACTTTTAAAACTTTCAAAAAATTTAGGTCCCATAAGGTTTCCGGCAAAATGCTCAGCAGGTTCTGGTCTAGGATGAGTTCTTGCAAACTGAAATTTATATAAAAATTAAAACGTCGTCGGGAATTTATCAACAAACTGCTAGACACGTCTATTTTCAGGGAAACATATTTTTACTTATATACCTATATACCTATACCTGCCTTTTCTTATATTCACTATATTGACGATTATTGTTGTTCAACAGATTTTGTACGTTAGCCACTTTAAACGTGTCAAATGTGCGTTTCAAGTACCACAAAGTCCGACGAAGAACTGAAGAAAAACGAAAGTTTTGCAAGTATGGAAACATTACAGGATGAACAAGCGGGTTATGGACAAGGACGTTTTTGTACGAACATAATTTTGTACTGTATGAAATTTACCTATTAATCGACGGATGTATTCAGTTTCGAGAAAGGGAAGTCGTTAATTACAAGGCACAATGATCTCCAATCTTCGCGGAATAAGAACAAAAATCATGTTCTGCATGAAAAACAAGAATAGATTACATTCGATACATACATTTCTAAAGTATATAAGTATTTCTGATAGATGGTGTAACGTTTTACATGAGAAATGTATTAATACTATTGTAACAATATAATTAATTGTTATGTTATTGTTGGTAGTAATCAGTAATACACTAAAAAATATTATGCACAATAAGAAATATGACCCATGGATGGGTGATTTACAGGGATGTGTTTGATTCATTAATTTATGCGGTTTCGGTCGGTCGAGAAAGCGTAACCCAAAGAACGGAAGTGTTGGAGCTAAAACGAACACGTTTTGTTTCACGAATATAATTTCAAACAAAATCATTAAGAAAGTTCAGAGAAACTTTTAATTTTCAATAAGTTCCTCACGCAATAGCAAATGGGTGATATTATACGTGCCATGGGTTTATCAATACGGTTTTCATAGAATATGCGATATAAATGCTATTGACTAAGCCATGAGTACCGATATTAAGGCTTTGAATTTGGTTTCCTGTTCAACAGAAGTTTCATTTTTAGTTATTGCGGACAATAAATATAAAATTCTCCCATTTAAGAGAAATATGTCCGGAAGGAACCCCATAGACGGTTCCTGTTATTCAACCAAGTAAACGAGCGTAATCGACAGCTACTTGAAAAATCTTTTACATCGTACTTTAATCGTTTATTCACTGAGAGCCAAAGAAAACGAACCGCAACGATCGTGTGTTAATGGGAACGTGTGTATAAGGTAGAACGAGAAGAGAATTTAGCCGATGCGCAGACCAGCTTACAACGTAATAATTTTGTCATGATTTTGAAGACGAAAAGTATTTTCAGGTCGAAAACTGTCTGCACCTCTATTTTCAACTTAATCAATCTCGATTTTTTTGCTGATTTCGTAGAGGAAAACAGTTCAACCGAATTTAATGTTATTCGTAGATATCGAATGTTGACTCCATCAGAGTTCCTATATTCGCAATTTACAGAATTTGTACGGTAATTAAATAGAAATTGCATTGGAAGTTTACAGTATTGCAACCAAAAAACCTGAATATTCGGGACGTCAATGTGATGAAAGTAAGGATATTAATTATTAATTTGGACCAGTTGAGTAGGCCTGGGTAGCACTGTGTTGAGTTGCGCGTTTGAGGATTAATGAGTAGAAAAGGGAGGATGGGGCGCCCGCTTGCAGAAAGCTGGTAAGAATTATTCCTAATCTATGAGTCTCTTTTGGAAGCGCAATTGAAGGTGATGGCATTTTTATGTCTGTTTATTTCAATTAATTAAACAAAGCAACGACGAGGGACGTTATGAATTGAGTTTTGAAATTTTCTTTGGATGATTCAAGAGTTAACTTTTCTTTAGTAAAATTAATCCTTAAGTACTAAGGTTTCAAAAAGAGCTAAAATACCACATGAAAAACTGCAAATTTGCCCAAATGTATTCATGTATGTACCATGTAAATGATCATGATTAAGATATTTTCAAACTTACTTGATTAGCTGGTTAATTTCAGGCGGCAGAGTCAACAGGTAATTGCACGACAAATCCAAAGTCACTAACGTTGTAAGTTGCAAAACACTATTCGGAAAATTCTGTATGTCGTTATTCTTCAAGCTCAAAGCTTTCAAATCGGACAACGACTGTAAAGACTCATTTGGAAAAACAATTTCGTCTACGTAACACTCGCTTTGCTTCCAGTCTTGATTCTTACATAAACTGTTCAAGTTTAGATGTTTCAATGAAGATGCGTTTCCCCCATTGTGGTTGGTCAGTGGAACGTTATGGCCTCGAGCGTCGAAATTCTGAAAAGAAAATTAGTGCAGGTACCAATTCGAACTCATAAGTTGATCATATCAAAGACAAAAGTAAATGTTGTTCACACTTAAAAAATAGTTTATTTTTTTGCTCAATAAAAATTGTGTCAGATTTTGCGAAAAAAATTCGTTTCACATATTCAAACACTTTTTATGTTAGTAATTCTGCATTGAGACGCTATCGCAGTCTTGAGCTTATGTACACTTTTAAATTTATGACCGATATAGAAAAATATACAATGTTATTAATCAATCGATAGCTTAAACTTAACGTTGTTTAACGAATTGGTTAAAGTTAATTCCATAAGAAACAATAAACGTAATAAATTAATTTATTAACACTAGTAATATTAAGAACAATAGAACATAGAACAATATGAAGAAGAGTATTAAAAAGGTTTATTAAAAACTGACATTTTTTTATTGCTGCCCAATTGGGATTTAAAACTAAACCCAGGCGTGTTGGCATAGAACGAATTATTCGATATCTTGAAAGGAAATAAATAACATCAATTTCCGATCAAAACGAAGCGAACTGCTCAAGTAATTAACGTACTTTAGCCTAAAAAGCGTTTACTTTCCACGCTAGCCAATAATAGATTGCGATACCATCAACTACTTTCAATTACGAAAGTAGGGAAACTGCGCTAATTTCGTTTAACAATGGGGAATAGAATTATGCAAAAGATGGACTAAAAAGGAACTCTTTGCTAGTATAAGCTGAACATTTGAATATAAAAAAAATTTGTGGGAAATTAACTTTTGATGACAATGTGTTCGAGTCGGTACACATACAGGATGACAATCAGAAAACTTATTTTAGGTGCAAGATGATGTCAAAATTTTCTGTTTTCCTTCCTTTCTCGGAAGCCAAATGAGGAAGAACGTTCATTTTTACATCATCCCAGAGAGAAATAAATGGTCTTTTTAGAAAGTGAACCATCGATAAGGGAATGTTGGCAGTTTTCTCAAAAAGTTTCGATTTCAAGAATTTTTAAGATTTAC